GGATAAAATGGAGACAGTTGGCCAAAGGGAGGGGGGAAGGTCAATTCTGGAATTTTCGGGGACCTTTATTCATGTATCATTTGTCACGCCATGTTGCATCTTCACGATACGACTGAGGTCATCGTTCGGGTCATCACGTAGGTTTGACTGGGGCCAAGGCAGCTGAAGTCCGGCAACCATCTTCTTCTGTTTGCACAGTGGTGGGTTCATGATTTGATTGCTACAGCTTCCTCTGTTGCCAAGTGACGTTTCCGAACTTGCTTTGATTTGTTTTGGGATACTTTGTAGATGACTTTGAATGCATCGTTGTCTGGCTGATGTCCGGTATCAGCGAGGTGGCCCATAATCGTGCCGGTTATTGTTTTCTTGCAATCCGTTCTCGGCCAAGCCGGGTTATGTTCTCTGATCCTTTGGGAGAGCTGCCTCAACGTTCGTCCTACATAACTTGCCGAATATGTGCAAATGGAAAAATAAGTAATCACAGATGAGGAGAGGATGGGCAGCTTATCCTCGAGGTTTGTGCAGAGCTGAGGCCGGCTTGTAAACATCAAACTTAGAGTGGCGGCTGGGAANATTCGTGTCTTCTTAGTATATCACCACTCGAATCTCCTTTGAACGGGAGCTGCAAGAATAGTTCTTTCTTTTTGGCCGCGCTTGGATGAGGCATTGTGGGCTTTTCTACGAGGTTCTTCTCGATGAACCGCTCCGAGTATCCGTCATCAAGGAGTGTGGATTTAATGAATCTTAGTTCTTCCTCCACTAGATCCTTGGAGCAAATCATTCGAGTTCTGAAGAACAAGCGTTGGACTAAGTTTCGTTTAAATTTGATTGGGACGAAACTTTGAAAATGGGTGTATTGGCCGTTCCATGTTGGCTTTCGAAAAATAGAACGGAATAACTTTCCACTGGCCCCGTCTTCAGGTTGACGTCGAGGAAGTGGAACGTGTCCTCATTTTCTGTTTCCATCGTAAAGTCGATTGACGGATGAGCTCGGTTAAAACGATCCAATATTATGTTCGGTAAAATACTTTTGTCGGAAAAGATAAAAATGTCGTCGATATAACGGCTTTATAGAGGGAGTTGATGAATGATGTCTCGTAGTTCGTTGTTTTCCAGTTTGACTACGAAAACATCTGCAAGGAGTGGGCCAAGTGGGGAACCCATGGCTACACCGTCCGTTTGTCTGTAGATTGTACCATTGAAAAAAAATTGGATATTATATGTACATCGTAATAATAGTTCTTTCAAATTTGTGGTTGGGATTCCAATTTGTTTTCCTCATCAATGTACTGGCAAAGGTAAAACACCGTCTCGAATAGTGGCGCATTTGTAAAAAGTGATTGTATGTCTAATGAGCTCATTGCCAAATCTTTGACGTCCAAGTCCCGAATTCGGTCGACAAATTCGAAAGTATCTTTCTTTTTTACACGGGAGATAAGCGTTGATCTTTGTTTTAACAGAGCACTCAATTTTTCATTCGAAGTTTTTAAGTATTTCTAACCAGTCATGGTTCCATAGATAAAACTCTTACCAAATACCTCAGCACACGGTAACACCCTAAACAATATGGTGATGTCTCTTCGGTCACCAGACCGCCATCCTTTCAACTGTATTCCGTCTCAGTACACATTCTGACTTGGGAAGATACCGCTCCTGTTTTAAGAATGATTCAACACTGCATCAAAAATGTTACTCCCTAGGTGATTTTCATGTAGAATAAAGAAGAATTCAATGAACATGTTTCAGGAGGAACTTGACGACAGGTGTGCGTATCAATGTAAACTCGACAAACGGCACGAAGACAGTAGCCCTATACCATAGGGTCGTCACAAACCAAACTCCGCTCAGATCTTCAAAATTCGTGCAATAAACCACTCTCAACCGGAGACATTCGTTCATTTTTTCAGACAAAGGACCTCACCGCTCGATGTATGCATAGTTCATTTTCGCCGGTGGGAGGAATGTTTGAATTGTGCAAAAGAACGTGATTGGCTGTTCCCCCAACGGTCAAAAATGAACGAGACCTTTTAGAGAGAACTATGGTATTCAAAATGATGACCACGGGAAAGGCGCATCCAGCGTCGGACCGTTCCACCAATCACCCTGTCGGTTTGTGAGAGTTCTGAAGATTTGTTTCAAATGAGATATTTTGTCGTATGTACGCTAATTTACCGATATCCTCGTTGTTCCTATTAAATAATTGTCCTCGTCCCGGCACCGTTTTGTGGATTTATAACACTATTACGTCGTTTCCTATCGGCATAAGTTAGACCGAGTATGCTGGCCAATTTTGGAACCCATGTCCAAGTTATGACAAAAAGGCGCTCGTACGTCCGCAGAGAAGGGTTGCAATCCAAGACCTAAGTTGCGAGGCTACAAACCCTCGGACTGTACTATTTTTATTACCGCCGACTCAGGAGAGATAGGTTCCTCGTATATCAAATATTACATCAACCCAACCACCCGTGTAGAACTCTACTGATACTATCCAGGAATAATCATCTCAGGAGAATTTCTGTTTAAGCTGATGCTCCAAAACCGTCAGCCAGATTGCCGATGCCATTCTTTCAGACTAAGTATGTAATACCGGAACTCTCTTACACCCCAAGTGGTTTGTGCTCAAACCATTAATTCATTGGATGAATTATTGAAACGCCTAACTGTTTAGCACCCGGGATTGAGCGTGATAATTATTTTCATCATACTATCATCTAAACTCGGTGTATTCAGATCCTATGGGGTTCAATAAGCTTCAGCTTTGTAAGTTACCCAGAATAAAAACTTGAATTTGGTTTCCAACGTTTTCTACACGTTCGTTTACTGAGAGTTACCAAACCATTTCCAGCTTGTTTAACGTCAACCACGGAATTTTACCAAATAAATAACATCCCACATTTGTCTTCCTTCGTAGTTCCCGAAAAGCAAAGTCGTCATTTGAACTAAAATAAGAAAGCACAGGATATCCAATCAACTCAATCGTTTATTCGCTGAGGTATTGTCGCGTCATGAGGGTCCCTACTATACGTAGGGAACTAATTTTCTGATTGTCAAAACAGAGTATGAAGTCCCCATGATTATGGAACTAATGCATTATTCTATTCATTATGATAGGCTGGTTACTTATATAAGAATAATTGTGTAGGGCACATCCGATACAAACAGCATGGTTGGATTTGGCCCACATGCTGTACTTTCAACATTACCTTTCCCTTCTCAATCGCTGTGATGTAAGACACTGCAGGGAGAATGCTCACAAGTAGCCCGAGGGTGTATAGGAACTGATCAGTGACATTTATCGTTTGTCAAAGATGCGAACCAGTAACAAAGTAGCATGTGGAGCATACGCCTGGTTTTTCGTTGATTGCGGAACCTGTAAGACTGTGCATCCATAGCGGTTGTTCGTATATCGCAGCTTGCATCTAGGTAGGCATCGTGGAGATGCTCGGAAACCATACGCAGAACAAAAGATCACGCGGAAACCTAATGCGTTATTCTTTACTGAACGCATTCAGAACACCGGCCTCCCGCGCAGGGAGCACGAGAATACCATCGTTGAAAACAATTTCAATCTTCGCAAAACGTTTTGGCACTTTTAAACTAAATCTGTACAGTTGAAGTGTTGATTGCATGATTCATATCTCCCTATAATATTTCATTAGATGATCATAGTTGTGTATTACGTGGTACAGGTAACGGTGTTTCTGGAGGTTGGAATCTTTGCCAACATCGCAGTTCTACTCCAATCAACCAAAAGTTGAGCTGTATTCGAAGACTACTGCTGTGTAGGATTCAGGAAGGATGTGGTTAAAACTGCATACTCAAACAAGTGTAGGATGAACAGGCTAGCAAGTGCACGTGCTTGTAAACCCAAACATGCTGTGGTGGTCTAAATAAGAGACCATTACAGAAAATCGTTAAAGTATATAAGTCAAACTCGTGTATTGTCCTCAAATAAAAACGAATCTGTCGATTAAATTTCCACCTGTGCTGGGCCGCTGACCAGTCGCCGCGGTGAAACTGAGTCAGAACATCATCAGATTAAACGCATGCCTGTTGAAAGCAGTTGCGTGGATTCTCAAATTTGTGTATTCAGAGAGAGAGAGAGACCAGAGATAGAAGAAAACCGAATTGAGGTCGAGCGCAATGCAAAAAGCAGAGAGAGGAGCACAGTCACGAAGATCTGAGTCTTATCAGGTAGGAGTGGTGTTCAGATGTGAGGGGCATTGAAACCGGATGGAGAAACGAAATACAGCATACAAACGTATGCAAATGAACTGGTGAAACAAAACACCCGAAAAAGCATTGGTCTATGGAGTGTCTCAGGTCGAAAAGGTGATACAGAGAGAGAGAGAAAGTGAACGGAGTAACTACAGCAGCAAATCCGATCATCATGGGGGATAACAACACAATACCTAATGATTGGTGTGTGTGTCTGTGCATGTTCACGAATGTAGTGCAAGAATTCAAATAAACGGCGAATGCGATAAACAGGATACGCATTACTGCTGTTGTTTTTAAAGCTTATCGAGCCCAGATCGATGAAAACACGAATGAGCCGATACTCCCCTTTAAAATGGGCCAGGGGGGAAACGAGAATAACAGGGCCTGTATAATTGAATTAACAGCCTAAATTAAAAAGAGACCGTGTCCGGCGTGATGAAGATACAAGGGGGGGTGTGTGGAGAAATTGTGAAGATTCGCGTCTTATTATTAGATTTAATTTTTCGCGGTGTGTGCATCGGAACTCAGACAGAGAAAATCGATCAGGAGGATAGAGTGAACAAAAAGAGAGAATAGTGCCATAAAACCGAACGCCAGTGTAGCTTATCCAACAGGCTTGGTATAGGATGATGATGGTTTGATTGAAGGTATATTTACAATGCCTCATGCAACTGGTACATAATGCAAGAAACACGGAACCAGGAAGAGCGAATATAATCTCCGGAAGATGGTTACATTCCTCCCCGCACCAAGTGACTGAGTCTGCCTGGCCATGAGCTTTAATCCGGTCTGGATGGTCCGGAATGATCTCGAGCATTCGCTTTGGCCGCGCGCATTTCAATACTGCGTTTTAACGCAGTCAACAGGGCGTCTTGACCAGATGGAGTGTGCGATTGGTTCGCGAGGTTAGGATCGTTCGTCCCAGTGAACATGGAATCTGGTGGAGGGGGTGGGAGATCAAATCCATCACCCGAAGAAGACACGGTTGGGTGATCTCCTCCAATTCCACTGCTGGACAATGTAATATCGTTTGTCCGAGTTGCTAACTGTTGAAGTTGAGTGGACAATTGGGACATCAAATGTGCCGCTTCGGAGGAGACGGGTTTAACTTGAGATAAAAAAACGATGAAATGGAAGTGGGGGTAAAGACAATGAAGATAACCGCAACACGAGCAATGTTAGGTGTCAACAAATTTGTCTTGTTAGTCATCTGATCCCTATTCCCCGATCTGGTCAGGGCCGTTGTTGGTTCATTTTTATTTTCTTTTAATGAATATACAAAGATACAATTTTCAGAAAATGGGAAGCGGCCAATCAATAGCTGCCATACAACAAACAATGGGAAAAGTCAGGCGGTGGGGGTGGGATTCGAATATACGTCCTCCGGGGTGGTAATTTGGTGACGCTGCCAGAGGACCACCAACGCCCGAAGAGATAGACGGGAACAAATGAATTTATGCCCATCTACCGTGTCCGCTGACTGACTTGCACGCATCTCGAAAAAGACATAATGAGGGGATGGATTAGGCATATCGAATTACATCACCTACTTACATTCACCTTTCAACTCAAATTTCTTTATCAACTGGCAGCCGTAACGTTCTCATTTGAACTAAACAGACCCGTGGGAACAGGTACGCATACTGTCATACCACTGACCACAGACTCATAACGTGTGTTCAACCTCTCAAGATCTCGGGTAACGCATCGTTTCCCGAAAGCCGGTCTAGACTGCGATGACCAATCGAATCCCACGGTCAGCAGCGGATAAACACATACACCCCAAACAGTTCACTTTATGCACGAGACTCATTCCGTGTAACTCCGTCCACATTACAGATGGCGATTGAGCAATGGGAGGATGGACACAGACATTGATAGAGGATGGACTTCAGCCTACTTAACACACACAACCAGCGATAGAGATAACCCCACAGCGTACCATCATCATACTGAGACAAAGCACCGATTGTCAGACTCCTCCAAACTGCTGGTAGTAAAAAAGGCTAGAATGTGAATGGTGACGATGAGAAAAGGCTGTCACGCAGAATGATCACCGGGTTGAACGAAAACGGTACATTGCTAACATCCAGTTTCATTTTGATAACACAAATTTATCAGAACGAATATTGGGGTGGCAATGATAGACGGGAAAAATCTGACCAGTTTATCCGTAAACGGATCGAACCTCGTGCATTCGATACATAAAACCATGTCCACTACATATANTATGGCCGAGCAGTGGATACTATCACGAGCTGATTATAATCACCCTAGCAACAAAACTACGAATATAACCAAACGTGTTTTGACCAATCCCCGGGGTGAGAGAACGGGAGGGAAACTACACGCATAGATCACAAAAGAAGAAAATAGACAGAAAGGGAGTGTACAACAAAACTGCGAGATGTTTCCTCGATAATAAAACCTACCCCAAAGCAAACAATAACNNNNCACAATTTTTCAATGGTTTTATTATAAACCCTAACCCTAAGATAATCAGTTCATGAGCTTCGTTGGATCTCTGGAGCAATCTTGTCGTGTTCAGTTTTCACAACCATTAACCATGCACTTTCGTGAGCCCGTTTTGGTTATTGTCTTTTGGTTGCCCATTTAGATTAGACAGCAGAATAAAGATTAGAATGTTGAGAGCAAATTCAAGCGAAAGATAGCGAATTTATGTAGACTGAAGTTGCAACAATAATGAGTAGATGCATGAGCGCCACGGTTTTCGACACTCACCCATATCACTCAGTGCCCCTAATCATCGGGTACGATCATCTCGAGGTCCCCATCCGGGGGGCCTAACGGGACTTATGTGACCGAGACTGCTGGTTAGGGTTTTCAAACCCTCATGCCAGGTCTTAGCTTGACCAACCTTGGCTTTCTTCCACCCACTACCTGCGTCGGCGAACATCGTTCGCCGTGGCAACCCCTGCGTGATGAACAGCAAACAGGGCGAACCCAATAGTCACGAAGGCTTGTCCGATGATGGAAACTGGTAATCCAAGCCCGGATGCTTGCTAGGTTGATGATGGTATTAAACAGAACATTAGCAAAGCTGTCTAACTTCATATGACGGATTTTTTTCCGAATTAAAGTGCGAGGACGAAAAGCCAACATTAGGGGGTAAAACCAAATCGGTGTGCTGGCACCAGTTTGTCTAGAGAAGTTGACAGAAAACCCTGACTTCAAACCAACTGAGAAGTGGCGTACAAGCCACACACAATCCTCCCAGGTTCCAGCAGTGGTCACCTTCGATGTTTGACCTTTCTCGAAGGATATATGATCTGATCTTCAATGGATTTAGATTTTTAGACACCGCCTTGTTGCCCTGTGGGCCAAGGTTTGGTTAACTGAAGACTTTGGCCGTAAAGACCCCCAATCTCCCCGCGTCAAGCAAGACCTCCGATCTACTGTCTCTAGGGCCACGTCTTCCTGAAAACGCAGCCAGTGCAACCAACGTGAGAAGGGTTAAACTGAAAACAATCCCATTCACCACGTGGTTCGATGTGATATGCGGTAGACCCAAATCAGGAGGCAACGAGGTGGTCAGAAAACGAGCTTTAAATAGAAGCGATTGAACTGATGCTCCAAAATTGTATTGAACCCCCAACGAAATACGCAAAACTGGCATCAGTGGTTTCAAGCGTCACAAGCTTACAGTAACTCTGGCAAACCGCAGGCCAGGCTGTGAAGCCAAATGAATTGCAGTCGATTTCAAAGTGGTGTTGGACGAGCAATACAAATGATTAATTATCATGCTTATCTTGTTCGATGGAGGATGAACTAGCACCGTAGTGTGTATCGTCAAATTTCTTCTCGTTCTACGCGGAGGCATCAGTCTGGAGGTGTTTTGTTGTGCCGAGAAAGACTCGATTTTGGTCTCTCATCACCATGACTACCACCACCACACATGAACAACAACAAACACAGGAATGTGTTCATAGGATATCTTTCGTTCTACCGATCGTTCGATTGACACGCCCCGCCCAGATGGGATGCGCATGACGAACATCTTTACCAGCTTACCCGCCCGCCAGGACACCGGTCTCAACATATGATTAGGAGATAAGCACGCCAAGTATTAATTTATCTTACATCTGACCGAGAGGTGTGGATATCTGTCTATGTGCGCGTGTATGCATACACTTCATTACGCTCCTGGAATGGTATGCTGTTTTGAAGATCGACACAAGAAAAGATAATCGAATTGGGACAGCACATCGCGAGTGCTATTTTTGTGAATGTCATCACATGGGAACCTTGACTACGCTGAACGGTAATCACAATGAGTACGGAAAAAAAGTCTGAAAGAAAAAATCTTAGAGAAGATGAACCTTGTTGAGAACACCCAGTTACGTCCACAATCGAATAGCAGTTTATTGAGAACATCAGAATTCGCTATTCAAAGTGGAGTGTTTAATTGTGAAAACTGTCATAAGAATAAATGAATGAGTGACCGATTTGATTTGATTTACTTCGATCCAATCGGATAAGGTTAGAATGATGCTTAAACATGAGACCTCAACCTCTTAGGAATCGAGTCCGTCAAGGTAAGGGAAGGCCAACAAATAATCAAGCGCATTAACCCATCTCAGTTGGCCCGTTAGCCGATAGTTGAACTAATCGTTTTCGATCACTGTCGTGGGGTGATTGATACGGAAACGAACATGAGCGAGAACACCTGACTGAAGGAATGCTCTCGATTTGGAAATCACATCCCCTCCACTAACCAATGGGTCACTTTTGATCTCGAATTGATCACACTCGAGGGTGATGGTGGCACAGTGGTTTGATCGCTGTCACTGGCGTGCTTTGGACCCTATGGTCCGAGGCTCAAGCCCTGCCACCGCCACCCAACTTTGGTGGTAGACAGCTTTGCTGTCGTCCGGTTCAATACTACGCATAACCTAACCTATCGGGGCGTTATGTGGTTCGCCACTCCAAGTCCCGGGGCTTAGGTCACCGGTTTCCATGACGGAGTAGGTCTTCGTGGCCCGTCGACGCGTCTGCTGCTCACAGATGTGTGTAATAAAAAACACTCATCTGATTGATACATGATTGGAAAAATTGGTTCGGACCGAATCAACTAAGTGGAAACAACCATCTTCGATACTATCATTATGTTATATGAATACTGATCGACATGGAGAAAGGATACATGAACCTCAGTAATTATCTATGGTATTTTTCTCAACATAGATTGGGGTTCAGTTTCATTTTGTATGACAAACACTGTTGCACTTCGGTGTGCTGATTTCAGTTT